AAGCGGTGGTCGACGGAACAACTAAATAACTAATAGGGTGGGGGCCAGCATTTGAACTACCCTGCCGAAATGGAACGGATGTCGCATTCCACAAGAGACGACGAAATTCACCCCTCCAACACCTCGTGCACTGCCATCATGCCCAAGCCACAATTCTCGCAGAGAGTCATAATCATCCCGCCAGCCTGCGTTGATTATGCATGACTTCCGGTCTGGCCCTCTATACTCATTGGGTAGTGAACTTGCAGCAGCAGCAGCAGCGTCTGAGAACGTCTGGCTGACCCCGAATAAGCGGGATAAGCATAAGCAGCGAGCGTGTCTTGAGATTCAGGTTCGGGGTCCGAAACCCTTCTTGACGGGTGTGAGTGGAAGCGAGCCCGGGCATTATTCCCAGACATTGGGGACAGGGCACTGGTAATTGTATCAAGACGGCAAACCGCAGAAGCCCTGGAAGCCGTTGATGTTGAGCTTTTCCAATGGAATTCTCAAGTCTGGTGCTCGAGTGTCAGCCAGCGCGTTGAACCACCCCCCGAAACCGGCCTTGAATTTGGTGAAAGTACCGGTACGCGGGGCCACGCTTTTTCTGGGGCCCTCTGGTAGCTGCGGCGGGACAAGGGTCCGCCACTTTCACTTTCCTAGCCTCAATAGTCACCACCAGGACGATTCAACAGATTAACCAGAGTCGACCAGAAGCAAAACAACAAGGTGCCAAAGGGGACAACAAAATAATACCGCCCCAACTCATTTTTCGGGCCCGTCCTCATCCCATCAGAATCTACAATTCGCGGATGCCCCCGTCACTCGCACCGATACTTTGACGCACTGCTCCGCTTTCGAAGTTGTACCCGTCTGGGAGAGGTTGGAGCTTGGGAAGCCCGGGCTTGACAGTTCACAGTTGCGCAAGGTTGGACCGTACGTCTGGAGCTGTTCAGAAAAAGTTGCTTCATTCGTCCTCGCTTCAAAGCCTCCGCGCATGACAAGGCAGTAGGAATTGCAGATCGTGCCAGGGAATAACAGTTACCACGTCAATCGGTAAGTTTGTTTGATTTTTTTTAACGTGCATTCCCCCCAGGTCGCGTCGCCGTGACGGACAAATGCCACCTCCGGTAGACGGTGGGTGCTGGACGCCTGGTACTCTGGAGCTGTTGTGTCGGCTGGCTTCTGCAGGGTCGGATCTGCTGGCCCACAACATACCTAGGTACCTAGGTACCTACTAGGTATTCTAGCTGGCCCAGCCTGCTTGAGTAACCCGCAGACGATTGACTTCAGAGCATGGAAGCAACAGCGCCCGCCAACGGCGGTGCGGGCAGGCAGTGCACCACCACACACACTTCAGCGCTGAGGAGCCTGGCAGCTCTGTTAGTCTCTGCGCGCCCAGGCAGTCGTTTCACTATTCAGCATCCAGGAAGCTCATCTTGCGCTCTCACTCTTCTCTCCTGAAATTCCACCTTCTTCTTCCTCCATCCCCCCATTGACTTTACCGTCTTGGAATCTCTCGCCGCTTCCCCCCTCTCTTCATCTCACCATCTCCCTTTTGCAATTGCAAAATCTTCCAGCGGGTTCGCACAGCTGTGCCGCAATAAAGCTGTACTAGTTGCTGACCATAACTCACCAGTGGCCCGCACCAGAAAATCACCTACTTCTCCCCGCCGTCACCACTTTCTCGTCTTCCATCATCCCACGTTCCTGACACGGACGACATTCACGTCCAGCCATGGCTCAAATGACGAACAATGGCAACAATGGCGCCAATGGCGTCAAAGGCCTGCTCTCTGCCAACGACCATATTCAGCGTTTCGCTGCTCCTAGCCGACCACTGAGCCCTCTTCCTGAGCACGCTCTCTTCAACGACAAGACCCGATGCTTTGTCTATGGTCTCCAGCCTCGTGCCGTCCAGGGCATGCTGGACTTCGACTTCATCTGCAAGCGCAAGACTCCTTCGGTTGCTGGTATTATCTATACTTTTGGCGGTCAGTTTGTTAGCAAGATGTACTGGGGCACCAGCGAGACCTTGCTGCCTGTCTACCAGCAGGTTGACAAGGCCATGGCCAAGCACCCCGACGTTGACGTCGTCGTCAATTTTGCTTCTTCCCGAAGCGTCTACAGCTCTACCATGGAGCTCATGCAGTACCCTCAGATCAAGACCATTGCCATCATTGCTGAGGGTGTTCCAGAGCGAGTAAGTTTCTGTACCTGATGGGGTGTTGACTGTCTTCTCTCTCAAAATGTTGAAGCCGTTACCCCACCAAAATCCCAACTCGCGTCATGTCTTTTGCTAACAATGTGATAGCGAGCTCGTGAGATTGCCCATGTTGCCAAGAAGAAGGGTGTCACTATTATTGGCCCTGCTACTGTTGGTGGTATCAAGCCTGGCAGTTTCAAGATTGGAAACACTGGCGGTATGATGGATAACATTGTTGCCTCCAAGCTCTACCGCAAGGGCTCCGTCGGCTATGTCTCCAAGTCTGGTGGCATGTCCAACGAGCTAAACAACATTATTTCCCAGAACACCGATGGTGTTTACGAGGGTATTGCTATTGGTGGTGACAGGTACCCTGGAACCACCTTCATTGACCACATGCTGCGATATCAGGCCGACCCCGACTGCAAGATTCTGGTCTTGCTTGGTGAAGTAGGTGGTGTTGAAGAGTACAAGGTCATTGAGGCCGTCAAGCAGGGCATCATTACCAAACCCATTGTCGCTTGGGCCATTGGTACTTGTGCCAGCATGTTCAAGACCGAGGTCCAGTTCGGTCATGCTGGTTCTTTCGCCAACTCTCAGCGCGAGACCGCCGCCACCAAAAACAAGAGTATGCGCGAGGCTGGTTTCCACGTCCCCAACACCTTTGAGGAGATGCCTGCTGTTCTCAAGCAAGTCTACGACAAGCTTGTCAAGCAGGGCACAATTGTGCCCCAGCCCGAACCCGTTGTTCCCAAGATTCCCATCGACTACTCTTGGGCCCAGGAGCTGGGTCTGATCCGAAAGCCCGCTGCCTTCATCTCCACCATTTCCGATGATCGAGGCCAAGAGCTCCTCTACGCTGGCATGCCTATCTCCGACGTCTTCAAGGAGGATATCGGCATCGGTGGTGTCATGTCCCTGCTATGGTTCCGTCGCCGTCTACCTGACTACGCCTCCAAGTTCCTCGAAATGGTTCTCATGCTCACTGCTGACCATGGTCCTGCCGTGTCTGGTGCCATGAACACCATTATTACTACTCGTGCCGGCAAGGACCTGATCAGTGCTCTTGTTTCTGGTCTGTTGACCATAGGCTCCCGGTTTGGTGGCGCCTTGGATGGTGCTGCTGAAGAATTCACCCGTGCCTTTGATAAGGGTCTGAGCCCTAGAGAGTTTGTCGACAGCATGCGCAAGGCCAACAAGCTCATCCCCGGTATTGGCCACAGAGTCAAGTCCCGCAACAACCCTGATTTGCGTGTCGAGCTGGTCAAGGAGTATGTTTTGTCCAAGTTCCCCAGCCACAAACTGCTTGACTACGCTCTTGCTGTTGAGACTGTTACCACTTCCAAGAAGGACAATCTGATTCTCAACGTTGACGGCTGCATTGCTGTCTGCTTTGTTGATCTACTCCGCAACTGTGGTGCTTTCTCCACCGAGGAGGCCGAAGACTATCTCGGAATGGGTGTTCTCAACGGTCTCTTCGTCCTTGGCCGAAGCATTGGTCTTATTGCACACTACCTCGACCAGAAGAGATTGCGCACCGGTCTGTACCGCCACCCCTGGGATGATATTACGTACTTGTTGCCCAACCTCCGCGAAGGCCGGCCTGGCGCCGAGGGCAGAGTGGAGGTTCAGATGTAAGGTGCCGAAAAGGAATTATGCTATGAGCGCGGGGTCTCTTTTTAAACGTGCATTTGATTGGGTGCGATGGGATATAGTGGTGACGGGTGTAATACCTCGATAAATGTGGGCTAGGAAGCAGCACATGGCTAGTTTCTGCGTAATAAATTATAGACATGATGAATGTTGGTTTGTTTTCTACCGTACTCACGCCTCGTGATTTTAGGGTGTTGTGATTTTGTTAGGTGAGGCAAAGTGTGTCGATTGGAACTATCTTTGCTGCGTACCATGACACTCGAAAGACCCATCCTTTAACCATACGATTGTTAAAGTGACTCAGGCCTTTCAGCCTAGTAGCGTGGCAGATTCGCCGAACATTACATCTGTTACTCCGTCAACAGCTCTGAAAGGATCAATCTAGCCGGCGGTGTGATGCGCACACCCCCACTATACGATACAGGGTATCCAGCAGTGGACACTCCACGTGACATTGAATTTGTCCCGTGCATCGTCCCATCCGTCACCATCGCCCTTACTCGAGTCTCCAACGACATTCAAACCCGCGAACGCAGGCAGCCAATGCGGTAACCGTACGTAACGAAGCACACTTCCAAAGGCCGTCGCTCACAAATTCTAACATTGATTAGTCGCGAATCGTCCCACCTCCCCTGGTTGTCGAGCCGCGAGCGCAATATTTTGCCCTTTGCCTCCGAGGGACCCAAACAGCAAGCACCTACACCGGCAGAGCGGCAAAGTAATTCCAGAAAAAAACCAAAAGGGGAAGAAACGAGGCGTCGGAAAAGAGGTGGAAAAAAAAATGTCCTTCTTCAGAATCACCCTCCACCGCTCGGCAATCGGGCTGCCCGAGCGGACGAGGGGCGTCCTCGCGGCGCTGGGGCTGCGGAAGCGCATGCAGACCGTTTTCCACCCCGTGGAGCCGCAGTTTGCGGGCATGATCTTCAAGGTCAAGGAGCTGGTGAGGGTGGAGGAGGTGCGGGAGAGGTTGAGCGCCGGGGAGGTGAGGAGGGCGAGGACGCCCGACGCCGGGTTCTACGTCGAGAGGGCGGTGAGGAGGATGTGATTCCGGCGGCTGCCACTTGCCGTGAGGGAAGCGTGAGGGAAAAAACAGAAAAAAGAACCAGTTGCATATAAGCAAATCCTCTGGGGAAAGCAAACAAAATCACTGTATCATATTGTACGACTAAAAAATGGCATCGATTTCGCTACCCTGACCCCCCCAGGACCTGAGATGTAGTATACATGGAGTTGATGATGAAAAAATAGAAACAATTTCGGGCTTGTGCGCTTTCAAACTTTAAAAGCTTCTCGCCTTGTCTACGTACTCCTGCGACGGGGTCTCGTACTCATTCACAAAGTATGTCTCGCAGTGCCGGCCTAGCCAAACTGTAAACTTGCCGATTTCCTCTCTCAGTCGCGAAACAGACTGCTGGTCCATGTTTGTCTGGGCTAGAAGTTCCGGCAGGGAAACTTGAATATGAAAGTGTTAGCACGAGAGTAGGGAGAAAAGGGGAGGGGGGCTTCTGCGGCGAAGCGTACCAATTAGGCGGGATAAGTGCTCGGCACCGTAGACATCGCAGACGCTCTTGTACTCGGTGGATTCTACATTGTCCCATAGTTTACGAAGGTCCATGTACTGATGGCGCTCAAAGCTTGGAGGGGTTAGTTTTCTTGGTCAAACGACAGCAGTTGGTATATGAATCAAGGGATACAGCTAGGGAGTGATGATGATTACAAGGCAAATATCAAGTTGGATGAATCAAAATGAATGACATGAAAGGATTGATTGATTGATGGGCCATACCGATACAGTAGGATTCTGCTGAGCGCCTTTTCGAAATAATCCCGGAATCCAGCAACGACTTCCTCCAGAATATCCATGCTAGCGGACCCCTCTTCCCGATGGGGCCGCTCAAATGAGAGGTAGTCCTCGAGGATTCGGGTGACAGGCTTCGGGTGCGGGAGAGGTACAAGCTGGTTGTTCTTTGTAATGTTCTCCCAGTCGTCGACGAGCATGGCCTGGATATGATCGGGCACGGGGAGATTGATCATGGGTTTGCTGTGAAAGGCGTCCTCCTATGCCATTGATTAGTCGCGTGGCGGTAAAATGCCAGTCCGGCAGTACTGAATAAGACGTGTGGAAATTTGCAAGACAGTTTGCCGGACAGGCACCACTTGGACGCCGTGGTTCAAGCACCTGTGAAGTTGGTTGAAGCGCGGGTAGAAGGGAACACACCGCCGGACGAGTGGACCGCCGACTCATGACTGCGGTTCAAACTCTGAGAGCGCCTGGCTCATGTGTCAAAACTTTTTGGTCAAGTTGTTGGGCTCCTACGCTCCCTGCTTGGGCTCCGGCGTGTGTGGCTTTGAGAGCCGCCTTTGTGTGTCTAGGGAGCCTTTCGGGGAGCTTTTTGGGGAGCCTTTTGAGGAGCCCTTTGGGGAAGCTTCAGGAGGGGAGGGGGACACTTCGTAGCGATTGTCAAACAGGATCTTTCCTTGGGAGCTCAGATAGCGATGGTTGACCTGGGGGAATTTCAAAAGATGATCGGGGGCCATGCGGAGACGCTTGATCTTGCTGGCAATGTTGCTCCGTCCGTTCCCCGGAGGTGTTGCAGGCGGATCCGGTCGAGGCGCTGGCGCGATAGTCGCGGCGTCTGTCTGTGGGCACCCACGCACGTTGGACAGGGGGAATGTCTGGCGTGCGTGTTCCCTTGGTGGGCGAACAATATCTGGCTGCTGCTTTGCCCTGGCGCTTTTGCAGCCTTTGCCGTCATCTTTGGACACTTTCTTGGTGACCTTGGTGACTTTGTCGACCCTGTTGACCCCCTTGACCTTGGGGACCTTGGCCGTATTTGAAGCCTTGGTGGTGTTGACGCCTCGCCCAGACTGGGGGCATTTGGGAGTCCGGGAGGCCACGCAGCGGGGCATTTTGATGCAAAGAAATCGGCTGAAGATGAAATGTCTTTTCTTGGGACAAAATAGACGGGTGCAGAAAAATGAGAAAAAAAATGCCTTGCAGGCCGCCGTGTCCAGTCCAGGAACAGACTCGTCGATATATATATATATATGTGTGTGTGTGTGTGTGTGTGTGTATACCACGGCATTTATACTTTAGACGAGTATAGACCTCAAAGAACCACTAGCCAGAAAGTTCAAGCCCGCGGCCGACGATAGACTGGAAAAGGGACGAGGACGAGCGTTTAGGTTGAGGCAAGCACATGTTTGGTCGCACCACAAGGGCCGTCCAAGCTGTTGCAACGAGCAGACGCCCAAGTATACGTACTAGGCGCTGAGATGGTATCCTCTAGCCAAGAGAAGACACTCCCATACCTAAAATGCCCAAAGAAATACTGCAAAGCAAGGCAAATGCGGCTCAACATGTTTGCTTCGCCCTGCCCGTGGTGAACATGGCCAGCACTTGCGGCACACCACGGCTGCACTGCACACGCCAGACCAAACCGCAAAATAACCACAAGCTTGTACCGAAAAAAAAAAAAGAGTCCTCACCTGCTCCAATTCCCAGTCTTTGCCTCTCCTCCCCCCTCTCCCCCCTTGAGGAGCGCCTGAGCCTCGTTCCTCACTACCTCTGGCCGAGTCGCCACCCTTTAGATTCTTCTTGGGTTGCTTGGAGTTTTTCTGCATGCTGCTCTTGACCTGGGCGTGAAGCTGGGCAGCCAGCTCCTTGTGCTCGTCGTCAAACGGCCGGATTCTGTCTGCGAGAACCCAGTCGTCCCAGGTGTTCTTCCAGCCCTTGTAATGAATTTTGTAGCGGAAGCCGTCGCCGGGCTTCTCGCCAGGCTGTACATCCATGACCTTGGCCTCGTAGAGCATGTCCATGTGGAAGCAAAGAACCTTTTCGTCCTTGTTGAACTGGGGCGTCTGTTGTTGGCGCGCGGGAGCCATGATGGAAGAGAATGTGCTTGTTGTAATGATGTTTCTGTAAAACCCTTTTGATAGCGTCCCTGTGGCGTGATGATGGATGGGGCGGGCTTCTGAGGCGTACAAGCTTTGCCAAAATAATCGTCATGCAAATCGGAAACTAGAGGCGCAGTCGACGGTGACAAAAAAAAAAAAAATTAAAAAAGGAAAAGAAATGCTGTGCGACGACCGCCCTATTCACAGATGGTCGGAGCGAGAGGCCAATGCTGGCGCTGGCAGCACAGGATGGACGAGCAAGCAGGTCAGTCGGCTGGCTTTGTCTGTGTGAGAGGAACATTTGAAGCCGCGTTAATTGACTGCATCTCATAGTTCTGCGCACGCGACGACGCGATTTTCTGCGGGACATGGAGTCAGCAACCCGTGCAGCATCGATGGGGTTGCCTGTGATTGGCTGGCGCCGCACCAGCAGTCGAGGGCAAGCAAGGTTCGGCGGTCTCGTGGGTAGCGATTGGCGAACCGCTCAATTATATAAACCACTGCAGAATCAGAATGTGGCCTGAAAACCGTAATTCACTTTTCAGTGCCTAGGCATATGTATGAAGCGGCTTAAGCTCTGGCATGTGTGATGTGTACTTACATGATAGCGTGGCTACTCCACCATGATCCGGCACCATCATCCACCTCTCAATGAGGTCCATCGCGTCACCCCAAAACCTCACCTTACGAAACACTCCCGTGACAAAGCCCGCCATTCAAAAAAAAAATAAAAAATAAAATAAAATAAAATAAGAAAATGGCACCAACCGAATCCGACATCCTGAAGCACTACCTCCTCCTCCCGGCGCCGCTTACATCCATCCAAACTCTCGAGCAGTTCCGCGCCCTCTTCCCACGCTCGTGGCAAGCGCACCCCCAAGTCCGCCTCCTTTTCCGCGACCTCCAAGCCCAGCGCAACATCGTCATCAACACCGTCACAGAAAACATTGATGCCGAGGCGCGACGCGGCGTCGCCATGCGCCGAGAGGTACTCCGCGTAGCGTTGGAGGAAAGCAGGGACGACGACGGCGACGCGGAGGTTGACATTGAGAGAGCGGTACGTTTTTTTTTTTTTCTAATAAATTTTCGAGGAGCTTGAAAGTATTTTTCTCGGCTAAGACGGGGAAAAACAAAAACACAGCTCTTTGGAGACAAGTCGGGCGCCAAACGCGCCAAATATACCCTCCACACCGTGATCCCAGATCTTCATGGCGCCGCGGCAGCCATGGAGTCCGAGATGCAGCGACTCGAGGACGAAGAGGCGGAGCTTGTCGCTTCCATACGCCAGACCATTGAGGACCTAAGCGATCTGCAGTACGGCAAATTGTCCAATCCCCAGCTGAAGAAGGATGTGTTGGAGGGCCTGGCCTCCTTGCAGGATGCGTGCGCGAGCAAGACGTAAAAAAAAAATACTGGCATTAATTATGTGTTTTGGTCTACTTTGAGCACCCTCCCAGAGAACATGTAAGTCGCCTGCCTGCCTTGCCTGCCACCTGTTGAAACTACATCCAAGAAAAAAGCACAAAAAGACATTTTACACATCCGCCCCCGGTTTATGGATATCTCGGTTTTTTTAGTCATGTCCGTAAAATTCACACATGCAGCGTTTCGACACCACCTCACAATACTTAACACGTGCAGTTGTAAAGAGGAAAATACGACGTCGACGACTCCAATTTTGCGCAAGAAAGCAGGTCTACTGGGGTCGACGCTGGCCGGTGGGTGCACCAGGACGTGCCGCACCAGGGGCGCCGGCACCGGGCTGCATGCGGTTGCCCATGAAGCTGCGACTGGCAAAGGAGACGATCAACATGAAGAGCCAGTTGGGGACGAGGCCAAACGCCCACATGACGTAGCCGTAGGGGACGGAGAGACCGAGCTCGGTGGCCTTGCCGTTGAAAGGATGGAACCACGAGTCGAGGGGGACGAAGCCGGCCGCCTGCTTGGACTCGGCGCTGTTGAGCTTGACGAGGTCCTCGGAGGTGGTGGAGGTGAGATTGAGCCGTTTCTTGTAGATGTCAATGGTGGCGGGTGCGGGAAGCATGTTGATGGACCAAATGCTGCCGGCGCCGGCGGACCAGGCGTTGCAAAGGATGGGCTGGTCGTCGCAGTTGAGCATGCCCATGTGCGGAGAGCCGGGGAGGATGGCGAACTTGGCGGCCGTTTCGTTGAAGGCCTGTTCAACCTTGCCGCAATGGCCTGCGAGTTTTGGGTGTCAGCGAAACGAGGCACATCAAGACACTCGTGGAAGGACCGCGCGGCCGAATGGGTAGGGAAAAAAAAAAGAAGAACTCACCAAAACAAGTCTTGTTACGGCCGGAAATCAACACCCACCACTCGATGGGAACTGTAGCTCCTGGAGCAACAGGCTCGTATAGCGTCTCCTTCCAGTTCTCGAGTGTCAACGTAGAGATCTTCATGCTGCCCAGCTTCGCCTCGAGTGCCGCCACGGGATCGTGCGTTCCTGGGTTGGGGATGTACGCGCTCATCTTGTCCATGAAGGTCTGGAACTGCGCTTTGTACTGCGCCAATGGATCTTCCTGGGCAGACGCCAGGAGCGGCACGGCCGCGATAATGGCAGAGATGGAGACGCGCATTGTGGGGTTTCTTGTCTTTCTTTCTTCTTTCTATTTTTTTTATCGGGATGCCACGGGGGTGGATGGTTTCCCGGCGGTATGATTGAGCGGCAGGAATGAAAACGTCTCAGCGGAGAGTGATGGCAATGAAACAGCAAAACAAAGGTCGAGGGATGAAGAAATGGGAAATGGGGAATGAGACGAGATGGAAATGGGGTCGGAGAGACGGCCTGCGCGAAAAGGGCTCTGGGTTGCGTGGCGGCCGTCAACGTCTGGGGTTTGCGGACAAGGTGGACATCAGTCAATGGGGAGAGAGACGGAGCTCAGCAACGGCCGTAGCCCTCTTTGGCAATTTGGGACTTGTGCAGGTCCAATCAATTCGCAGGAGGACATTTAATACGGGCCGTTTTACTGGTTGGGCCGTCCATGTCCTAAGCCAATGGTTCGTCCGAGCTTGCTTGGACAAGACGGCAGGTGGGGCGCGGAGAACAGTGGTGAAGAATACGGAGTACGGAGTACTAGTTAGACACCAAGCCAATGCGAGGGTTGACCTCATTCTGCTGAATTAAGCTGGGCTGTAATCTCACATCATCCATCCTCTTGGTGAAGTGTCAGGACCTGCAGCTGCTCGTCAGTACGTACAACATGCACCACGTCCCGTCTGGGAGCTTTGGCCGCTTAGGTCCCCGTCTGCAAATGCAAGCTCATGTGGGCCACCACCAGCTCTGACGGGCAAAACGCCATTTTGTCGTGCTCATCCCAGCCAAACCCAACTTACGCCTCAACCACACCACATCGCCGGACCACAAATAAAGAAACAAAAAAAATTGCTGAGCGCAACCGATCTACATGGTGCCTACGCTCCAAAACTGCTCTTCTTTCTCTTTCCGCAAGTACTGACGCATATACACAGGCGCCAAACCCCGAGCGCAAACGCGTCCGGCCCCAAAACGCGTCCAACCAGCTCAAAAGGCGCGGACGACCCAGGAAAAGCGACGCCGAGCCCGACACCACACGCAAACAAACACAGCCCTCAATCCGCGAGAGCTGGGGCTCTGCCGCGGGCCGACCAAGCACCGTGGGCGAAGACGAGAGACCGTCCAAGAGGCCCCGCGCATCAGATGCGTCGCGAAGAAGCAGCCAAGGCGCAGCCGTCATTGGGCGCCGAGGAATCCCCCAGCCGAACCAGCCTGGCTCCCTCCGCCGGACGACAGCCCGCGACGACGACGACAACAACAACAACGACGATAACGAAGCATCTCGCCCTTCCCTGCCGTCCCCCGAAAAGCCCTACGTCCACGTCGCCCCGCACACCCGACGCGTGCGCCAGTCGGCCATCGAGGCGAAATGGACGCCGCTGACCAACGCCTCCCTGACGGCCGTCTCAACCACGCTGCAGTACGCGCAGCGCCCCATCCTCCAGCGCCTCTCAGACTCCGAGTTCCGCCGCGAGCACACGGCCTCGGCCGTCCGCCAGGTGGCCCAGCGCATCGCGCGCAAGATCTCGCGCGGCCTGCCCTTCCCGCCGGCCAGCATGCCCGCCAACGTCGGCCGCGCGCCGCTGCAGAGCGACGCCGGCCGCGAGGTTGAGCTCAACTTTGAGAGCGTCCTCGACGGCAAGCTCAGCCTCGAGAGGCAGCTCGAGCCCGCGCTCGACGGGCTCGAGGTCCTCCGCAGGGT